CGGTCAATGATACCGATGAGTCCATGACGAGGTTGCCGAACATCTTGGCCGTGTTGATGATTCGGCGGTTGTCCGCCATTTCCTCGTCTTCCTCTTCCGGTTCCTCCCCGAAGAGAGGTTCTCCAAGTCTGCGGAAGAATGTCCACAGGGTATCCTGGAAAGCATACTTGATCCTCGAATCACCGCAGAACTTGCTCGCGACCAGCGTATAGTACGGGTTATAGTGCTGCTGCGCCCCGGAGCACTGAACCAGCACGTTGGAGACTTCCCGACGGTTGTACTTGTTGAGACGCAGCTTCAATATCCGCAGGTAGGCATCGTTAAAGTCTGCTGCCGCGACAAGGGCGATGAAGATGGCGCGGCGTACGTCCGTGTTCATGCCCTGCTCGCGTGCGAGCTCGGCGTAGTTCGGCATATCCAGTCCGTCATCCAATATCACATCATCGTCCGACGCCACCTCCGCCGAGCCGGCGGCGCCGGCGCTGGCTGCGGTCGGTTCGGCCTTCTTGCTATCGCCGCCCTGCCCAGCCCACTTGGCACCAACCAGCCACCACTTGCCCGACTTGTCTGCAGCCTGAATGTCATCAAGACCCATGCGGAGTGGTTCGGTGGCCTTGAGCTTTGATGTGTCCATCGTGCCGAGATGCTTCTTCATGCGCGTGACGTGCTCATGGAGGACCGCTAGATCCTGCGCGCCGGTCTTGAGCTTGTTGTTTTTGAGATCGCTGATCGTCTCAATCATGAACTTGGTTCGCACCGAGAGGTTTGCCTCGCCGATCTTGGCTACAGCTGGCCGAATGAGGCTGACGATATCCTTGAGCGCCAACGGGTCATCCTTCCGAAGCTGCGCTCCGACCAGTCGAACGATACGGAGCAAGATCTCAGCATTGAGCTCTGACAAGTCTTGGAGCAGGAATTTGATGTAGTCGAACAAAATCTTGCCCGACACGACCTTGAACTCGTACATCTCTGCCAGCACCGTGATCAAGTTTGATGTCTCCTTGGTCGGGGTGCGGGCCTCAGCAGCCATCTTTTCTGCCGCATCGTGCTCTCTCTGGAACCGTTCAACCACAGCTGTGACGAAATGGGCGGCAAAGTCGACACCAATGACCTTGTACAAGGCTGCTATGAACCCGGCAGAGAGAACCAAGAGTGTGTCTGGTTTGCTTGTCGCATCGCAGATTTGCGCCATCAGCAGGTCCGAAAGGATATCCGTGACAATGCCGCGTGGGTGTTCGCGGTAGATCTTCTCAATCTCTCCCACAATGGAGACAAGGTTCGCTTCGGTGACACGGTTCACCGGACCCTGGGTCTTTCTCCGAATCTGAGCCTCGAGATCCGCATCCTTGCCGAGTGCCTTGCGAAGGGACGGCGGTATGTACTTGCCAGCACTCTCGCCGCCAGCGGTAGCCGTGACTGGCGCGACGTACGGGTTCTCTCTGACTCTGGGCTTATTTTTTGTTGGTTCATCCGAGTCGGAGTCAAATCCGCCAAATGACCCCTGCGTCGTCATCGTCGTCGTCGTCGTCGTCGTCGTCGTCACCGCCAAAGCCGCCGAGTGAGACCTCATCATCGTCGTCGTCGTCGTCGTCTTCTAGCAGGTCCGAGAGGCCGTCGTCCATGTCCGAATCGTCCTCGTCCGCCTCCCCTTCGCTCTCCACGGGCACTTCTGCCTTTGCCGCTTTCCTCCGTTTCTTGGCCAACCACTCGTCTGCCTCTCGCTTGGCTTTTGTTCTCTCGTCTCGCTCGCTGTCGTCTTCGGCTCCGTCACTGTCCAGTAGGGCGTCAAGGCCATCTTCGTGGAAGGACTTGGGCAGGGCCTTGCGACCCTTCTTGATGCCGAGTTTACGCTCGAGGTCTTCAATCTCGGCATCATCCTGCGCAAACTTGTCCTTCATCTTGCGCGACGTCTTGGCCGTCTTTGCGACCGGCGAGACCGGCTCGTCGTCGTCATCGTCGTCATCCACCTCCACGGGGGCAATTCTCTTCCTCTTTCGCTGATTTGTGTCGCTGGCCGCTTTTGCGCCCTGCGCTCCTCGTTTCGTCGGAACGGTCGCGGCATGGCCGCCGTCCGAGTCGTCCTCGGAATCGTCCGGTTCTTGGCGAGACGGCCTGGGAGGTGCAGCTTTGACGGGTGGCCTTCGGGGTGCTGTCGGCCCCTGGCGCTTCTGTGATCGCTCGGCCTTGCGTTTGTCCCGTCGGTTTTGGCTCTGGCTCTTCCAGCGACTGTTGTCGCGCGGCGTTCCTTTGGGTTCTCCAGAGACTCCCATCTCCTTGAGGAGATTGCCCGGAAGGGCGAGCTTTGGCGGCATGTTTCGATTTCCGGTTCTCTCTGCAGTCGAGGGGTGGTGTACAGTCTGCCAGGCGTATCGCCACTTTGCTGCTTGTTTCCTGCGACACCAGACGAACCTGGTCTTCTTCTTCTTCTTCTTCTCTCCGACAACTTTTTAGCGGGGCCCTCCCCTCCACCCGAGTGGGCCTACGCTGTGCAGCCAGGATTGGGCGTCTCTGCCCCGCCGTACAACAGACCCACAGCGTACGGCATCGCGGGGTCCCAGGGCTTCCATGCGAATCAAGATCCCATCCTGGGCTGCCCAAAGAGTTCAACCCCCCCCCCCCCCGTCCACGTCCACGCACTTCCCCAGCACGCTGTCACCATGGCGTCGCACCTGAGCAACGACGAGGTAAGAAACTGTCAGTCCCTCACGCGCGCGGCAAGACCACTGACATGCGCCCTCCGGCACAGTTCTTCGCCGGGCTCCATGAGCTGTTCAACCACCGCAAGGGCAAAGACCACGGTGCCATCTACCTCGTCCAGAAGAGGCGTACGTCCCTGTGTCCCCTGCTCCCGCGATCGCACCAGCCAGGCGCAATCGAGTTATCCTCTCCCCTCCCACCTCTTTCTGACGTCCCGACGATGCAGTAACCCACGGCCAAGACGCCGTCGCCGCGCCGACAGAAGAGGACCCCTTTCCCGACACGCACCCCTCGAAGCCGCTCCCCATCATCGTGAGGGCGACAAACGCCAAATCCAGCCGGAGCGACAAGAAAAAGGTCAAGCTCTCGACGATTGTCGAGCCCAGCGCCATTGACGACTTTTTCGCGCGCTACGCAGAGGTGTGCAAGACGGGCATGACGGCGCTGAAGCCGCGCGACAAGAGCAAGAAGAAGGCCAAGGCGAAGAAGAGAAAGGTCGGCGCGCCGGCGGCGCCCTGAGGGAACTGCCGTGTTGGAAGGCGGAGCGGGGAGGCGGGGAAGAGGGCGGATCTGCTGCTTGCTTGCTGCTGTTGCTGCTGCTGCTGCTGCCATGTGGACATAGAGATTTGCTTAGGATTTCTGGCTATTCAGTCCCAGACGAAATCATGAGGATACCCATTCTGACCAAGAAGAAAACAAGCCTGTATGGGACTATTCGGGATGCGCGGCCTCCTCATAACATGTTCAGCCGCTGCCCATTACCTGAGCATCGGGTCGAGCTGGGCTGCCGCATCCTCCTCATACTCCTTGAGCATCGCCACCAGCCTCACGCATGTTACGCACTGCCTCCTCACCGGCGACTGTGGATCCCCAGCGTACATACAGAGGCTCTCCGGACACTCTGGGTCTGTCCCGTTCGGCTCGCCCTCGTCGCAGCTCGCCAGTCTTCTTCGTTGCTGCCACCTCGTCTTGCACGTCGGACATCGATACGAGTGCACCTGGCACATGGTTTTTGCTGCGCCGCGGACAGGGCCTCGTCCACCTTGGATGGAACACTTGTCTGTGGAAATCAACTATATCCTGAAAGCCAAGTCGTTGGTGTCTAGGTTGGATTTATTCGACTGAATACAGGAAACAAAAAGTTGCTATATGTTCCTGGAACGATCAACGAACTGGTCCGCAGTTATGGATGGCCATGCGGCGATCAGTCAGGCAAAGACTTCTAAATGACCGCTGTTATCACATTGAACATGTTGGACCGGATCCTGAAACAGGCTGCGTACCACAGCTCCATGACGTGTGCTATCAAACTAGGAGAGTGAAAAGGCTGCCTGTGAGGGCCGTCGCCGGTCCGCCACGTCCATGCTCAAGAGCACGATGAATGAGAGTGACAGCATGTGAGCGATCCAAATTAGGGGGTTAGAAACAACATAAGCCCGTGCGAGCACGCATCTGGCAATGGCAGTGATGCATCTGCAACACCGAGGAGCGGATGTATTGTGCCTTCTCAGGCATGACGCGAGTCACAGCTCTCTCCACACCTAGGTAGGGAGGCTGGCCCAGTATCAGAACGGAACGCTGTGCGATGAAAACCTGCCGCCTCAGCAGTGGTCAAACCATTCTCCCCAGAAAGAAGCCGACCCGAGCAAAGAAGTTGCCCAGCAATTGAACTTTTGTGTCATCGGATCATCATCATCACCACGGTCATATCGCCAACATCACCGAAGAGACGCCGCGGCCGCGCCCTTGCCGGTCACCGTGCCAGACCGTCGTCATGCGCCTGTGACCATCCAAAACTCGCCGTGTCCTACAACCTCCCGGATCAAAGTTCAACTGCTATTTGACGTACAATCTGGATTATCTCTCACGCAGTCGCCCCCCTCCTCGGCTCCACTATATGCCCTGCGACCGGAACCTGCGAAGGAAAAGAAAAGAAAAAGACAACATGCGCCGATAGTTTTTTTGTTCTGCGTAGCTTCTTGAATGCCTGTGGACGACAGACACCATCACCCTAGATGGCCTCAATCAAGTCCATCGAGGCGTGTCCAGGCGTAACGAAGGCTATGGCTGTGCAACTATCATAAAGGTGGCCGTGGAGAAGCTAGGAAAATCGGGCCTTTCCCTGAGGGGGAAAGTGCTTTTGAGCTCACTTGTAGGCAGACAAGACAGACAAGGCAGTCTTGCGCAGCTGCGTCGGTGAGTAGCATCTTACATGATCTGGTCCTGGGTCAGGCCGGCATGGGCATCTGTATCCATGCTGTCGCCACCGGCACCGGGGGGGCTCAGGTATCTGACGAAACTCAGGCCCAGAGGGCGTCCACCATACTGGTATCCTTGGAACTTCTGGATGGCGGTGTCGGCCGTGTCAGCAGCATCAAACTGCACGACACCAGTGTCGCGGGAGCGACCGCTTGGCTCGTACTGGATCTCGGCCTTCTCAACCTTGCCGATGGTGGTGAAGAGCTCGACGAGATCCTCGTTGCTAGTAGACCAGGGAAGCTGCACGATTGATTAGCAAGTTTGGCAAGGTAGTTGGAGGTGATAGGCAGTCGGGCCACGTACGTTGCGCACGTAGATCACCTCGCTCTTGTCGGTGCCGGCCGTGGCGTAGTCGGTGAACGGGTTGGGGGGCACGGACGCGCCAGGGTTCACGCCGGGGCCGCCGGGCGCACCGCCGGCGTTGAAGCCTCCACCGAAACCACCGCGGCCACCGCCGAAGCCGCCACCGAAGCCGCCACGCGGAACCGCCGAAGCCGGCCGCGACCGCCAAAGCCCGCCGCCCGAAGCCTCCGCGCAATGCCGCCGGCCGAAAGCCGCCACGGCCGCCCGAAACCCCATGGGTCCGCCAGCTCCAGCGAAACGGTCTTCGCGAACTTCCAGAAGGCGTCCTTGCCAATCGTAGCCATTGAACTGCTCAATGGCAATGCGAGCATCGTCAGGACTCTCGAACATGACGATACCGGTGCCCTTGGGGCGACCATCAGGGCCAAGGTGGACATCGGCGCGAATCACAGCGCCGTTACGTGCTGGCAGCGGGAAACAATGTAAGTGCCTGTGCGAGGCTTTGGGAACGCAAAGTGGGGACATTTTGGTACTCACCGGCCTGTCGGAACAGATCCTTGAGATCCTGCCATCCACCGTGTAGGGCAGCTACAGTGTGCTGTCAGCAAACACGCGCAGGCATCAGGAGCGCCAGTGCTCGCCAAGGATCGGGGGACACATACGTTGGTGATGTAGATCTGACGGCCGCCCGCCGCCGCCACCGCCGGGCATTGAAACCACCGGGCCCACCAAAGCCACCAGGGTTCATGCCGCCGTGGCCGCCGGGGCCGCCAGGACCGCCGTAGCCACCACGGGTCGCAGTGGCGCCAATGAATCGGGGTTCCCGCTTCGCGGTCCTACAGAAAGGTGAATGCATCAGCCGTCGATCATCGGTCGAACCAAGAGAGTGAAAACATACCTCGCGGACGTAGATGAGTCGGCCCATAAGGTTCTGGTTGCTGAGGGTTGCCACAGCGTTCTGGGCTTGTTCCCGTGTCGCGTATTCCACAATTCTGTGTTGAGGACCCCGTCAGTCTGCTGTGCGTTGGCACGTCATGGGTTGGCGTGGCGAAACTTACCCGCATCCCTACAAACACCAATAGGCGCGCGCCCAACCCGTCAATCCAACGATTCCATCAAGGCCGGAGGGAGAAAAACCACAAAGGGAAAACCAGCCATAGACTACGTGTAAAAGCCCACCTTCGACATTCCATTAGGAAGTAGTAGCACATCGGCAAAGAGAACCTCTCCAGCTGCAGACATGAAAACCCTGGTCAGCCACTTGCTCGCCAGCAACAGACACCTTGACGTGACCCACACTGTCTCATGAAGTCCTTGAGGTGATGCCATTTGACGTCGTAGGAGAGGTTGCCGACATAGACGCGGCGGTCCTGCTGGGAGCTGTCGCGAATGTTGCTCATCATCTGTTCGCGGGCGACGGCGCGTTCTTCGTAGGAGCGATGTTGCGGAGGACCTCCGTATCCGCCGGTGGATCCTCCGGCAGGTGCGCCCGTTCCAGACATGGGAGAGCGGTCTCGGCGTCCGCGGTAATCGTCTCCCCTGCTACGGGAGCGGCTACGGGGTGAGAAGGAGCGGCGCCTTGCTGTGGTGGAACGACCGGGGCTTCGCGAACGGCCTCGACGCGGAGATCGGGACCTCTCTCGCTAGTCTCAGTCAGCAAAGATGTGCTGGCTTGAATTGGTGTCCTTAGCAGTTCGCGATTGGTGTCCTCTGCGATTTCGCGAATTGTACAGAAAGACGTGGGCTGAGACTGGCGCCAACACGCCACAGCCCGAGGGCCGAGGGGGTGATTCAAGGGAAAGCGCAATCGTTGGCGGCGCGCAGGGCGGCTGTAGATCCGACGACCGAAGTGGTCCGGTTTCTACGCCGGCCGTCTCACCTGGGAGGGAAAGGAGGGGAGGGCAAAGACAAGAGGTGGGCAGACTTACGGGACGATATGTGTCGTCGGTGTTGTCGGCTGTAAGGTAACGCGCCTGGTCAGAATATAGGCCTCGCAAGTTTGATGTGAGACTGCTGTCGAGGAGGGCAGAAGAAAGCAAAGAAGGAGGACTGTGATGCCGCGGTAGGAATGAGGCCAGGTGAAAAGTAAGGCAAGGTGAGGTAGGCAAGCTGGCAAGATGTTGAAGGGGGTAGTACCAGTAGTAGTACCGGCGGCAACGGTTGGGGCCAAGGCAGGTTGAGGTAGCTGTAGAGGAGGGGTGCAGAATGGGGGAGAGGGGGGCGCAAACGGATAGGATGGAGTGTCAAGTGGGGCAGGGGCGGAAAGATATGCAGGTAGGGGGAGGGTGCGGTACTGGCGCGGTTCGGGCCAGCGCAGAGTTCCAGCCTCGTCCCTGCCTCCTCCACCTTTGCGCGCTCACTCACAGGCAGCAGCCACAGACCAGTCGGCCTGAAGAGCAGATGTGCCTTGGAGGGAATGGTGACGAAGGAGACGCGGGGGACGATGCAAACCATTGCACGTGTCCCCGAATGTGTCTCTTGGGCTTTTCGCTGAAAGGGAAAGTCGGAGGGAGAGGGGAGGAGATGGATGTGAGGTCAGGCATGCGCGCGACAAGGGAAGAGGACTTCAAGCCTGAATCCAGGGCAGGCCCAAGCAAGTGAGTACGTGAGTAAGCTGTGATGAGAGCCCAAAGCCTGTGAGAACTGCTACCGCCAGCCGTATTTGGGATTGGGCACTGGGCCCGGCCGAATAGGACAATAATGGCAAATGGTGAAATGGAAAGCAGCAGCTGTGTGAGATGACATGGGCGTGCGACTACCGTGTCCAGTCACGACAGGAGGTAACGCGTCACCACGCAGCACACACCACACACCACACACCACGCGAGTGGCATCGGCGGCACCAAGCACGGCGCTCGCTGCTGCTGCACCGCCTGTACCGCAGAAGAGCGTGTTTCCAGACAAGCCGCGCATCATGCCGTTACCGTTGCAGTGTGTGGTGGAGGAAGTCAGGCCATGCTGCCGCCGTCACGACAGACCACAAGCGCGGGCGGCCCTCTGGGTGTGTTTGACAGGCCAGGAAACAGCAGGTCGGAGGCAGCGTGTGATGGTGGTGGTGGTGGTGGTGGTCCAGCAGCGGATGGCTGACGGGGCGAGGGGATGGCAAGACCCGCGTGCAGGATCGGCAAGGCTGAAGGGGGAAGGGGAGTCGAACAGACAGGACGAGGTGGCAGCTGGCAGGGTAGGTACTGGACAGAAAGAAAGAAAAAAAAAAAGAGAGAGCATGCGTACCCATGGTGTATTACTCGTGAACGACAAGGAGGAAAAGGCCGAACTGCGTTGAAGGGTATCGACGAAAGCCTCAGCCGGGCTGCCAGGTTTGCAGGGTGCAGGTGCAGGTTTGGCTTGGGAGTTGATGGGGAAAGAGTTTTCGACGGGTTACAGAGGTCCTCGGATCGATTGGACAGTAGAGACCGTCGTCGTTGCGAAAGGGTATCGCGCGCCGGCCGTGTGTGCGTGCGGGAGAGAGTTGCTGGTACTACGCGTGACTGTAAGGAGGTTGAAGACTGGGCGCTTTTCCGTGACGTTGGACGAGAGGCAACGTGGAGTCGGAGGGTGAGTTGGTGGACGTCGCGCGAGCCCGGTGGAAAGGGCTGGGATGGACGGAGGAACGCGCGCGCCGAGGCTACCTGTCTAAGGTACCTTGAGGGGAGGGGATGGGGACAACCAAGGAGGCCTAGGTCGGCTAAGTAAATACCTACCTAGGTACCGTAGCATAAAACTGACGCGCCTGGCAAGGATAGGCCGTGTTGTGTGGGCATCAGTCAGATTGGGGATTCTGGCGCGACGAATGAATAGGGCGCCAGTGGCTCGTGCGCAAAGTCTCCATTCCCTCCCTGTACAGGCCTGAAAAGCACCTGGATCCTGGGCACCTATGCTCGCTCCAAGAGAAGTACTCAGGCTGATTAGCTCTTACGTGGGCAGGTACGGGTACGTAGGTACGTAAGTACCGACCCAATGCTAGGCGCCTCCGCCTCTTTCTGAGCTTCTTTCTGAGGTGAGAAGTAAGTTTTTATGAATCACTCGAAATGACAAGGAATGAATAATAGACACAACGACAGCAGCAACGGCAAGGTGTGCTTTGCCGTTGATTGCTCACAGGCCAGACAGGGGATCATGAGAGCTCCCTCAAGCAGCCCCCAGTGCAGCAGCTACCTACAGCTGACCGGCAGAAGCAGGTGTGGAGAACAGATTGCAAGAAGAGACCAGACCAGACAGGGCCAGGCAAAGCAATCACGCCGCCTTCCCCCCTCCTCTCTGGTCGTCCCTCCTGGTTGTCGTGCTGCGCGTGCACACAGCCTGGTGGAAGTGGATACGTGTGCGCAAGAATAAGGCCACACCGCCAATGGCGTTGCTAGAACTGCCTCCATCCGTCTCCATTGTGACGGCATGTACATGAAGCGGTACGACCCTGGGCCAGCCTGACCTTCGGTGCTTGACGTTGGGCCCGTCTTGCCTTAGGCAGGAACGATGGGACAGGTAGGTACAAGTAGCGTTCCTTTGGTCAACGATGCTTTCTCGCACTGCGCAGACAGACCTGGTACTACCAAGTCGTGGAGCCAAGAGAGAGAGAGAAGAGTGAACGTGCGTACGTGCGTACGTCTCTTTGAACGCTTCCTCTTGGCGAATCTTGCACCCCCTCTTCATGCCCTCTCCCCCTCCCCTCCCCCCGGCTGGACGAACCAGCGACTTCGTGTATGGCTCCCCGCCCTACCCGAGGTGTCGACCATGACGAATCCTCCTTAACACGACGGCACGTATTGAGGGAAAGACTACACGGGCAATGTCGACGTCAATGACCAATGGTATGATCATATCGGGTCCGATGCGGGTATTGCAGGACAGCGTAGCCTAAACACCCGGATGGCGCAAGAGACCCCCCCTTAGATAAGACCCCCCACGTTAAGCTCAACAATAGGGCAGCAGGGGGTGAGTACGCAAGTGCGCAAGCTGAGAGACAGACAGTGAAGGATTGAGAGGGAACTCAACGGCTCTGCTGAGGGATCGCTGGCCTTGTCTGCACCCGTATCGCTAGTACATGTACCTGACGATCCGATCGTTTTCGCTTGGTACAATCGCCCCCCCCTCTGCATATACGACGATGTCTGGTGTTAGCGCACGCTTCAGTTCGCCTCCGGGATGTCCAACCTTGAAGGCGTGGTCCGACTGGCTCCCATCGTGGACAGCCTGGCGCGACTGCACATGCGGGCCGGCGCCACTGTATTTGGCATATCTACCAGGGATGTGAACAAGGGCACTGGAGGGGTTGGAGAGGAAGAGGGAAGAAGCGAGACGGAATGAGGGGACAAAATGGTGAAGAGGGGGGTCCAGGAGTGACCTGACACAACCTGCAGCCCCCGTCTCAAGTGCAGACACTGACCTGCACCTAGAGGTAGTTTGACACCTTCGGACTGGGCAGTCAGTCCCTGGAGGACAGACATGGAAACGGGATGGCAGCAGAAGTTGCACCTCCTCGACAGGTCGAGAGAAATCGTGCGGGGTTCAACACCATGCATGATTCATCTTTCGCATCCAGCTTCATGCCGGCGCACACCGGGCAATGGCTGCGCCGGCGGAGGCCAGCCAACGACGTGCTGTGTAACCGCCTCATGCATGGCGGGCATGTATCTCGACTCGGTCTCGTCTTCGAGGACGCCCTGTGCCGGCTCGTGGTAGAATGCCGTTCGTACTCAGGCCACTGACCGGGTTCGGATTGAGACACAGGCTGCAGCGGGCACGAAGAGCCGCCAGCCTCCAACAGGGTCCCTTACAGAGCGAGCACGGCAGGGCCGCAGAAATGGCTGACATGGTTGAGCTGATGTGATCCAATTGACAAAAGAACAAACCCGCGAGTTTCGCCGGCCCTGTTTGCCCTTGCCTCGTACCTAAATATACCTACATTGGATTACAAGATTCTGGCACCACCAGGCCACGGACGGCTATCTCAGGTGGTCCGTGCGCGCGGAGACCGGGACGGCCTGGACCCTTTCCACGTCGGCGCGCGGGTTCATCCGTGCGAACCACGCGAGTGTGGTTTGGTCATGGAAACTTCAACTCGACGACCAGCACCACTTTTCCGTCTCTGAGACCCCGAACAGGCTTGCAGAGCAAAAGCTGCATACGACGTCTGACACTTCGCGACTCTCGCCTTCCTTGCACGCCGACTTCCGTCGCCCATTCTGCCCGGATTCGCAATGGCGGCCCGCGTCCTGCGCCCCCGTGCCGTCCTTCACAGGCCCACCATCGCCGCCTTCTGCCGCCCCTACCACTCCTTCGACCATCCGGCGCCGAGCCAAGCCTTCACCAACTCAGAACACGCCCTCCTCTCCGCCGCATACGAGCATGTCCCCGACCACGGCTTCTCCCACCAAGCGCTGGCCCTCGGCGCCAAGGACGCAGGCTACCCCGACATCAGCACCAGCATCCTCCCCGATGGCGCCTTCAGCTTGATCCGCTACCACCTCGTGACGCGGCGGGAGGACCTCGCCCGCACGAGCCAAACCATCTGGGGCGACGAGAGCAGCGGCAGCACGGCGAGCGTCGCCGACAAGGTCGAGCGCTTGGCCTGGGAACGCCTGGGGGGGGAACACCACCGTGATCCTCCGTTGGCAAGAGGGAACGGCGCGCGCTCCCCCTCTCGCTCCCTTCTTCTCCAGTTGGGCACAGACGTCGCCGGGCGCCGAAGGGGCTTTTTC